GCGGGGGAGACTGAGGTGACGACGGAATGAACGGAGACGACTGACGAATGTGTGTCATCAATGTCTGTGTCTTCGCCTGAGTGAGCGAGCGACCAAACGGCGGATCTCCAAATTGATTTCATTATGCTCCGCGACGCCCGGCCCCGGCGCGGGGCGCAGCTGAACCCGGTCGTTGGCCGTCGCGGCGCCCGCGAATCCCACGCATCGTTGTCAGACGTTCATAAAGAATAAAGCTTTTAGCATTATCATTATATTCTCGAATTTAAGTCCGAAACGTTCCCTGGTCCAGCTTTCAAACGTGTCTCTTGCAAACTACAGCTGAAGCCGAAATAAGGTTGGAAAGTGGCTCACGAATTACGATAAATAAGCGCATTTCTGCCGTAACAAGGGAAAAAAACGCAGTGGGAACATTCGGGTGTTGCCGAATTCCCCCGAATAAGACATGTATTTTGGAAGAAGGTTATGAGTTTTTTTTATTTTTCTTCCTCCCCCCCCCCCTAATCTAAGGGCTAATCCTGCGCTTTAATCCTATCCCACCTTCGTCCTTACTGAACCAATCCCAGACAACCATTATTGATAGAGACCATCAAACTCGGGTCGCCTGGCCGGGAATCGAACCCGGGCCGGGATCATAGAGCTAGCGCTACAACCACTACACTATAGGAGGCCACTTTAAGTATAAGGGAGACATTTTAAGGATCTTTCAGTTTAAATCTTGAACAATACTGTCTAGAAAATTATAAGGAAAATATCGATGAACTCCCCAACACACTCGTATTTCATCAGAGGAAGATTATCCCGACCTGAAGGTTCATGCAACGTTTTTCCTTAACATGGCAGACTTGCAGTGTTGCTCCTCTGTAGTTAGTCTGCTCAAGTGAACTTTTGCTTTTGTCTTTGCTGTTAACGTAGATTTAACTCCCATCCTTGTTCTCCAGCGTGTCATATGCCTGGATTAATCGGAAAAGTAACGTAGGCAGTTGCTTATAACCTGCAAATTTTGAAGGGATGGAGAAAAAAGAGAAAAAAGCGCGGAGTCACGCGGGGAAGATTTGACAAAAAATGGGTCGAGCTTACACTTACTGGGACTTTACTTTTTTAGTAATGTTATGGAGGATGTACCTTGGAACCATCATGGAGGTGGCAAAATATTTGCTACCTCGGGACGGTAAAAGACCAGTCCGGGCATGACTACGTGACAAAATTTCTGACGAACGTAAATTTTTTAAAAATATCCAGAAGATTTTGTGTAACAGGACCAAATACCTAAAAATTATTTCGGCTAAATTAGAAGTCTACAAAACCACAGACATGTTTTAATTAGATAATTTCAGAGATCGCAAAGATGAAACAAGTAGAGGAATGAAGAAATGAAACGCGCAAATGTATGAGAGACTGCAATTATGCATTGTCCTTTCCTCTTCTTGTAGCTATTAAAGAATAATAAGGGAGCAGGTGCGACATATTGTTAGCTCCGGTTTGTAGCTGCGTGCCTCGCTGTAACATTGCACCTCGCTTATACCCGTAGTTAAACTAGAATAATCTTCATCAACTTTTAAGTACCAATAAGTATAAAATATTAAAAAAGAGTTGTGACGATTTCATATATTTACCCTTAATAGGATATCGTTAGTTTGTTGACTGATGAAATACATCAATCTGCTTGTGTTATAATTGTCTTAGATATATATATCTAAAGAGGCAGTCCAGAGGCAAAAGGAGAAAACACGAATTGCATCGGCTAAATTTAAGAGGTGCGATTCTAACGTCACGGGATAGTTAACTTTCGTTGGTTATCCAGTCATACATATGCTGGTTGAATTAGTTTTATTTGTCAGCTGAAGAAGCTGTGGTGATATTCTGTCCTGATTCTCGATCTACAACAAAGGCATGTCATATTCATCCTGTCATAGTTTTAATCGCAACGAGGCTCCATTTGTGATAGTGCTGTGAAACGAATGCCAGATTTACTCCGTATGTGGCAGATATACTCCAAAAATGTATCTGATCATCACGGTTTAGCACCGCGAGAAAAATCTGGCACTTTAAATACTCCATGTAAACGACGGGAGGACCAAAATAATACTGAAAATTTAACTTTAAAATTCCTTGAGTTTTCCACAATTTTAAGTATCTCATCGAGTGATGAGTTGAAAAAACATTTGCTTTCGTCTCTAGCTATTTGATCACGTAAACGCAGATTAAACAACAGTCTATCAATCAACATGATGTTCCGCTTATATTTTTAAGATCGGAATTCTGAGGAAGAATATCTTCTAATGGACCTTCGATTTAAGTCGACCTAAAAAAACAAAAATTCATCGGATTTCGCCGGATCGTTCAAATATACCGAACGATATATAATATCGTTCGGTATCTCTGTGTGTGGTCCTTAGACATATCTCTTGGCAACAGTTTCTTGATCCTCTTGAATATTTCTGATTCCACGATGAACTAGCTCACTGACAAGTGAAGGTGTCTAGAAAATTTCACATGCTAAAATATCTCTTGAACAACGATGCGGACGCTCTCCGTATATGTTCAAAATTACACCGACTAAGTTAAAATTTTTTATGCGCCTGATCCATTAGGGTCTGGCCGTAAAGGAGAGTAAGAATTTTGTTCAAATCTGCGGTTATCAACAGTCGGAGGTCATCAAAGTTCAGAAACTATTAGTCGAAATC